TGAGCCGCTTCGTATGTCGGACTGTTCGCAGTCATCTGCTGGACGACGGGCGTGTGCAGCTGGATGCTGGCGCATTGCACCAGGGTATGCGTGAGGAGTGCCGCCCGCACAATATCTGCCGGGGCCGAGTTGAACCGCTCCATGCGCGGCAACGCTTGCTTGAATCGCTCGATACGGTCATCCAGAGCCCTAAAGCTGGAGTGCGAAGCTAATTCGTCTCATCGAAGATCAAAAATTAAACTTAGATGGGGAGTAATGAGTGTTGGCTTACAGGGGCCGTACCGGGAAGCGAGACGCGTGGCGCCCTCGTAGAGAATAGCGGCTTTAGCCTGCATTGCCAGAAGGCTCTGTGTCGCCATGTTGGCGTCCCCATCTGTGCCAGCGATGAACGACTTCACGGTACGAGAGGAGCGGAAGTCGCTAGGGAACGGATGCTAAGAGAAGGGAATGTTGCCGTCAGCGCTGAGGACGACGACTCGGACACAATCCAATGACTTACGGTCTGATAGTGTGTCAGATCCATGGGCCACGGCGTGTCTATCTGCGTACCCATCGCCTCATCATCGGTAAAGGCAGGGGCTGATCCAGAAGCCATGGCCCAACAACGATCGAGGATGAAGACGGTCCAGAAACCGTTGATTCTTTCACCCTCCTCGAGCGTATCTACCGGCATCGGAAGACTGTAGGTGTTGGCATCGGCAGCGGTCCTGCTACGCCGTGAGCTGCGAATCATGTGGAGCCTTGAGGCGATCGCAATTGAGACCGCTGCGTTGGTATGGTAGACACCCTCAAGCTGGCGGCCTCCGTTGTAGAAGTAGTTGGCAAGGAGAACCTCGGCCTGCATCACATATAGCGCACTGGCCGGATCGTCGCGCAGCGCGGTGGCAGTGGGCATCTGTTGCAGAGCACGGGTGAGATATGCCTGCTCTTGGGGGTCGTTCAAAAGTTTTGCGCCTATGAGATGGATGACGTTGCGGAGGATGCGGAGGCTATGTGCACCGGTTGCAGACGGGTAGAACACTCGATCGAGGAAGCGGCTGATGTGTAGGAAGAAGCCAAACTCCGGTGCATTCTGGAAGAAGCTCTGGACCCTGGATACAGGAATGTCAGTCTCATGGCGTGCTGCGAGTACTGTTGAGGGACCTACAACGCTTGCATGGGGTCCCTGCGGCTCTGCTCAGCATTCGCCTGTCGCTGGCGCCAGATAGCGTAAGGATCAACCAAGGTCAATGGAGCGGATTCGGCTGTTATCTGGGCTATTCTTCCTTCGATCTCAGCAATTCTTGTCTCGAGCATCTGGTTTGGCGTGGGTCCAGGTCCGTCCAGGTATTCGCAATCCTCGGCGCGCTCTGCACGCACACACTGGCTGCATGCAGGACGCTGTCCGTCGCAGCGCTATCATGCAAAGGATATGGTATGAGTATGCAATCAAGTGGATGACACGTCATACTACGGACCATCTTGCGGCGTCTGTGTACGGGCATGATGAGGATAAGGTTTTGTGAGAAGGACCAAATGCGTCGGCTGACCTGCATCGCGAGCAAGCACGACCGCGTTCCAACGGAGCTTGTGCAGACATATCGAGTATTCGTCGGGAGTGAAGAAGAGAACAGGTGGTTTTTGGTGCCTAACCTGGTTCGAGAAGCCTCATCCTATATACGAAGGACGTTGACCCGGCTGTGCTTCATGCCAATCAGGGCGGTAACGCAAAACGTGTGCGCTACAAAAACGTGACATCTGCGGACCGAAGATGATATAGAAAGCTTGTTGGCAAACTGAGCCGCTAGGAACAGACGGTCGCCGTGCAGATCTGGCTGTGAAGTCAAGACTCGCACTGTGCCATGGTATTGTGCAGTTGACGCGTTGGATGGTTTCTTGCGGCATGGAGTCGCCAGTGACGGCCTCGCCGTATGAGACCTTGGATGGAGAGCGTCCCACGTGGAAGCTGCCTTGTTCTCTCCAGGTCGCAGTGGAAGGAAATGGCCGGACTGCTTCAGATGGCCCGTAAGTGATGGGTAATAGTGTGATGACAGGCCAACATCTCGGGTATGCGTGGCCTTGAGCGCCCAAATGACCGCAGCGGTAGTATGCCTGCCTGGGAGTCGCCGAGCTGGATGGATGTTCCCAGCCCCATCTCGATCGATCAGTTCGCAGTTAACCAGCGTGTCCCTCGGAACATAACCCTGTGAGAAAGTCAGCGCCGGTAGCAGACATGCAGAAAGTAGAACAAGGCAAACGGATGCATGGGCACTGTGCTCCTTACCAACGACACGTGTGGCGGCGATACGCAACTTCACTCCGGTGATATCGCGGGCAGCGGCGCTGAGCAGCCATTTCCGAGACATGGACTCTCGGTGCCGTTAACAGCACGGCAACTACCACAGTCGGAGGTGGAACTGCTTGTGATGCAAAATCGGCGTATAGGCAGCATACCCATCTCCCACGGGAGAACAAGCTACGACTCATGAGAAGACGATCGCGAAAGCAGAAGCAATCCTAGGCCTATCGATCGATTAGTTGGTGGCACGACGCACTGGCAAACCTGGGTGGCGGTAATTTGAGAATGAGCATAGTTGCCCGGAAAACGCCTTCTCTAGAGTTTCTCGCACACGCTCGATTGATATCCGTGAACAGAGCGGGCGCAAGGTGAGGGAATGGGAGAAGACAAGGCGACACGGACTCGAGTCTCCGTAAGTGGACTGTGGCAGGCCTTGCGCACTGTGTGACTCTCCTCCGGGTTCGGCCGTGGCGCCCGCGTGAGAAAGTCAGACTCAACGCGTGCTGACCAAGGCTGACCATTACTTCCGCTCGTCCACTACCTTCTCCGACTACACTGGAAATTGTCAAACGAATGGAGAGAACAAGGCCACGACCTGAACAGTTTCAGTCTGACAGTGATCTCCTACCGCTCCGGTTACTAGCAATCGAGCCTCCGGCCGCGAACGGTTCGGGTACGGTCCATTGCAAAAGTTCCCAGCCAACCGCAGGTCCACCGTACGCAGCAAGATACAGCCTTGTCTTGTGCCCCCTTTAGCATCCTGAGCGGCCTCAACGTTTATGAACCACAGTGGGAAGCCGGTGAATAATATCTTTGGTAAGGCTATGGTTGACCGTGTAGCCGGCCCTTACTGCGCCTTCCAAAAAGCGCAACGACTAACCACCACGAACCTCCAAACATTGATGGCCTGTTTGGGCGCATCGGGAACAGGGGTTGCTTACCCATCCACAGACAGCTTGAGATCGAGATTGCCTCGCGTTCGGAAGGAAATGTCCGGCTGGCTTGCGTCACTGCAATCTCTCACTAGTATTGCAGCCGTCAGATTGAACCTCATTGCTCCGATTGGCGCACTGGTATGTGGTTTATGAGGTTATAGCGGCATCCGGCCATTGTACCCGTTTAAGGATCCCTTCCACGACTCAACCGTTGCCATCGCACATTCTGTGCAGCCTGGAACAGTTTGGTACGTTCTGGCCGATTTTGCAGCTTACGCTTACTGATTGATAAATCTGTCGTAGCTCGTCTATGATACGTTTTGCTCAATGGATCAGACCCCGTGGCGTGCTCGCCGTACTTTGAAAAGTAGGGGGGGATGTCGGTCGGTCAATAGTGCTGTGCCACCGCCTGACATCCGGCGACACCATCCGACCGTCTGTGCGAGGCGCGAAGGTCATGTCTTTTGACACACATCTTACTATGACTACGTGTATGACTATTGCTATCTTCTCGCAGCCACGACCAGATGTAAAGTCTGCACACCGACACATTCCTTAACTGTCTCATTGAACTGAGGTCAAGTCGGGGATGGTTACCAGGTTGTGCGAAGGCCCGGGAGTTGATATGGCAGCTGGTAGTCAGACTACGTGGTCTGTCTGTGCTCATGATCAGGGTTCTTCGTTGTCCTGCATCATCTCGGACCGATGAGCGGCCTCGCGACCTCCAGCGGGTAATATACGCAAGAATGACATCCATCGGAGCATGCTCTCCCAGGTGTTTTCTGGCTTCAAATGCAAGTTGTAGCATTGGCTGCGTGTCATTCTAGACTCGTCATTGACATGCATCGCTTGTGAGTAAAAACCCTGATGTCTCTGTCAATACACAGACCTGATGTATCGCAACGCCGTGGTTATGGGTCAGATGTAAGCAGTGCGAATATGGAGACCGCCTGAACCCTTCAACAGTCATGATGATGGGACCGTTAAGGCACATGCCCTGGGTTTCACGCATGTATCGTCCTGGTTCCCTCGCCAACAGTCTATGTTCGCAGCAACCCGTTCCCTTGCATGCGACTGCTCGGGCTCAGAGGGGTCTTCGCAGTCGAGCAGCTGAGTAATCATCCCTCGTCGTGGCACCTAACCACGGCCGAGTACGTTTCAGAGCGATCGATTTCCACGGTTGGGGTGTTCCGACCTGGCCTTGAGACGCTCATAGCCTTGTACTTTGGCCGCCCCAGCAGACGACCGGAACGCTGGACACACAGTAGACGCATCACCACCTTTCCTCGTCACATTGCGGACTCCGTCTGTAGGGCGGACATTCTCTCACATAGTCGAAGCGGCAGCATACGCGCGCGATGTATAGGAGTCATGTTTCAACACAGTCATACATCGGAGCGCCCTTGGGGGAGAATGCCTTAGGGCGTACGTGGTATGCAAGGGACGAGCCGCATCGTGCAGATTGTCATGATACTATTACTGCCACTTAGCGTCCTGTTCTCCCCTGTTCTGTTGCGATCTGTAGCTTATCGTTAACTTTGACCCCCATTCCCGACTAGGTCGTGACCTTGTAATTCCAATGCCCTTCTCCCAGCATGACAGTGCCAGGAGGAGGAGGAAGGGACCGATCGTCGATTTCGGCCCTGTTCGATCCAACACACCGCGACTTCCATGACCATGCTGGCGTTCCAAAACACATTCAAAATTGGGTGTTATCAGTACAGAGAATGAACGAAAAATATGTACTTTGAGTACTCAGTACAACCCTGCCAGTGAGGGGACAAAAAGGGCCTGGCCGGGAATTGAACCCGGGGCCTCCTCCAATTAGGTGATCCCAGGAATGGGTACGCCCTAAGAAGGAATCATACTACTAGACCACCAGGCCATGTTACTTGGGACTCTGATAATATTGTCATCACAATTATGCCCCAAAGAACAGTATGTCCTTCGCGAGCGTCCGTGTTGCGTTGTGTATAGTATCCAGCCAGCGCGCGGTGTCAAATGAATACCCTTGTCCCTCCCATCTCTCCCCGACTGCGTTGGCGGCTCGAGCACATCAAGGTGTGACTAGGATGCCTCGCGGGATACCAAATGCCAAACGAGATGAGTCCGCACTGCGCTACACCTCCTTCCATGTGCCCTTAGCGTAAGCCACTCAGTCCGAGATGCGGATTAAAATTCTGACAACGCCTGCATAGACCAAACCCAAAGCATGTCGGATCAACCTACCTGAAATCAGAGTCACAGACGTTGTGGGCGAGGAATGCCGTCCGTGCGCACAGGACGCGGAACGTCGTTGACGAAAGCGGGGCTGCAACTCCTATCGAGGTGCGTCACCTAGGTCCGTTCATTATACCTCGTCTTCACGCATACACAAGACTCGGAGGGGCGCGAAAGTCATCGTCGTACATCCAGGGTCGCGTTTCCTACGGATAGGACGCGCCTCGGACGTTACGCCACTCACCGTCCCCAACGTAATCGCGCGAAAACAGAAGACACCCGTTCCACCACAGAAGTACATCTCGGGCATATCACGACCACGCGAAGACAGGAGAAGATCAATCCCTTCCATAACGCCACCCGCTGGAGATGAGTACGCCGTGAACATAGCTTCAGATGATCCTGTACGTGGACAGTGTTGCGTACCCGCGAATGAATGGGAAGTTGAGAGCCGCACTGCTCCAGTTCGATACGAAGGTCGCCGCGATCACTGTCTCCCTGCGTGATCGCATGCGCTTCTACAAGTTGCGAGTCACGACGAACGCCGCAGGAGTCGCAACAGCGTTCAATGAGCAGTTCAAGCCTGAGAAAATCCCTGAAGCAAACGACCCATTCCATGTCGACTGGATAACATCCTCAGATGAGCCATACCTGGTGGGTGAGAAGGCTCTCCGCTTGGCGAACCCGGAGGAGATGGGCTATGCCGTGAGGTGGCCAATCTATGGCGGGAACTTCAATACGCGCGACTACCCATCTACCCAACTGATCCTTGCGGACATCGAGGCAATTCTGCGGGAATCCTTGAGACTGAAGGACATAGAACCCAAAATGTACAAGGTTCGTCCTATAGCCAAGTCGAGTCCGCTCCTCCTCTGATGTTTCTAATGTAGGAATACTCAGTAGTATTGGTCATCCCGGACTACTACGACCGTCTCTATGTGGAAGGTCTCTCAAGACTGTTGCTCATCGACATGGGGTTCAAGCAGATATGCGCTCAGCAAGTACTGGCATCTATGACCATATCCCATATGCCCGCTGACAGTAGCCCTAGGAATCACTTGCTGCGACGTACGGAGCAGGAATTTCCAACGCGTGCGTTGTTGACATGGGTGCGGTGAAGACGAGCATCGCCTGTGTCGATGACGGTCTTGTCATCGCTGACACGAGGTGAGGGGTGGGAAATGCCTGAATTCTGACGCATGGCCGCTGACCTGGATGTGGCAGGATGGTGCTCAGTATGGGCGGAAATGATATCACCGAGTTTCTCTACGTCTTGCTGGAGAAGATTGGCTTCCCCTATGCGGACGTCGACCTTGCTCGCTCGTATGATTGGAATGTCATAGAGGAACTTAAAGCACGACTATGTACACTGGCGGAGGTGTGTGTACGCGGCCGGTCTACCCATCTTCCTTGCTAACCCCATTGTGAAGGGCGACGTGGCACTCAACCTGTACGACTTCTCAGTGCGGCGGCCTGGACATCAGACGGAAAAATACGGTCTTCGCGCATACGACGAGATCATCCTTGCGCCGATGGCAAGTCTTTCACTCATATCCTCCAGTTATCATCATCATCCTCATCATCATCATCATCATCTGAACCTTCACCAGTGCCTCTTCGAGCCTCGCGTCATTGAGTTTGAGCAGAAGAGAGCTGGGATGCGGTTCCTTATGCGTGCACCCGACATGGCCGAAGAGATGGTCGAGCAAAGCTCTGATAAGTTCTCCGAGAGATACGTATGTCATTTATAACACAGCTGGACCCTGCTTGCTATATGCTCACTGTGATGCAGACACAAGCTATGATGATCTCCACCCAACACCTCTTCCCGGTATTGCCCCCGCCCATCGCCCTCGACCATGCACCATTAGTGGCTACCCCTCCCGTTCAAACTCCCGCGACGACAGAGGGGCAATCTCTCGCGGTTACACCCCAGCCAGCGGCGAGTGGTAAGTTGTGAATTATAAATCTGGAGGCATAGCTCTCTCTCTCATCCTTCCTCCTTGAACTAGCACCTACCACAACTCCCACCACTCCTGCTGCTGGGGGGACGCCTACACCTGCCAACCGCGCGAAGGAGATCAAAGATGAGGATGTTGAGATGGCCGACGCGACGTCCCCAGACAATACCGAGAAGACCGAGAAGGACTCGGCCGAACCTGACAAGGAGAAAGCCCAAGACGACAAAGATTCTCCAGACAAGGGCAAGGGCAAGGAGGTAGACAAGCCCGTAGAGGTCATCGACGTTGACGAGCTCGACACTAAGACACTCCCCACCCCCGCTGCTCCTGTCCAGGCACATCCCCCTTTCCCAATGACCATGTCTTATGGCGCGTTTAACATCGACGTCAGCTTCGAGGCGAGCAAGCTCCCTCTCGATGTTGCGATCTTCAACAGTGCACGGGCTGCGGGGGGCGATGAAAAGATCCGGAAGTACCTCCAGGCAGTCCTGGTCATTGGTGGGACTGCACTGGTCCCTGGTATGGCGCATGCGCTCGAGAGCAGGTATGTGCTCGCACCGTGATATACTGGCTGCCGGTCGCGCATATTGATTGGTTGCTCAAGGCTCCAGGCTATTGCGACGCCGCTGGTTCCTAACATGGAGAAGGTCCAGATCATCCCGCCGCCCAAGGACGTAGACCCCCGTGTACTCGCATGGAAGGGGGCCGCAGTACTCGGCAAAATGGACGGTGTCGCGGATGTCTGGGTGACCGCGGCGGACTGGGTGAGTGCCTGGAATCTCGTATCTGGGTTCCTGATCTTCCTATCCGTCACTTTCCATATGTCCTATTCTCTCTCCGCTCGTATCCTGGTTCCGGAGAGAGCAATTTCGACGCGATCTTGTTTGTCCATACCTCCTGAGGATCGTGCTCGGCCTCGGCTACTCCACACCTCCGGCCATCGTGCCCTTCTGCCTTGGCCTTGAGCTTCGGCGGCCCGTTCCCCGTTTCCATCCACGTGTTCTGACGATATCTGACACCCGCTTTGTCCTCGCAGGAGGTCTTCGGCATGCGCGCCCTAAAAGAGCGGTGCTTCTACCTTTGAGCGTGCCTTTCTTGGTGTATATGGACCACCCGATCACTGACACACTGCTCGTGGCGCGTGTGGGTCCGACGACCTGCCGTCCTGTTTCTTGGATGTCAACGAAGTGCGCTTTCCGCGCGTCTATATACGACTTGTGACTACTCAGAGCGCAATGACAAATGATGAACTTTGTATCTGCAATGGACCCCTCTGCACGACTCAGCATCACGACGTACAGGTCCCGGCATTGGCAGCGAGGATCGTTTTCATTGCGGCTGGTCGAGCCGAGATGGCGTATGCACGGTGCACAGGGTAGCGGACAATGACTGACGTGCCTGGGGAACGTCCAGGTCCAGAGATTGTGAGACATCCGGGGCAAGCGGAGAAGGAGTGTCAGTTCATGGACATCCTGGCACCCTGCCTTAATGCTCAGAAAGACAACTTTGGCTTTCGGGATGTTCTGTCCGTGAGTTGTGCATGACTGATGATTGTGCGGCAAATGTTCCTCAGTTACAAGTTCGGCACGACCGCCCCATACGAGAAGGCTCACGACATGGCAGGGACCTGGCAGGGACGTGCGGACATGATGATAACGCACGAGAAGGACATAGGGTATATTGACCCCTGTGCCAGTACCGGCCCTTAGGCCTTAGAGGGTGCAGCGTATGGCAGGACGGTTCCAGCTCGGTTATCCGCCGTCTACTGTCCCCGCTACATGATACAAATATTAATGCTGCCATGCATCATGAGCCAATTATCGCAGCCGATATCAATCGCTGGGTATCCTCCGGCCGCATCGACGAGACACGCATGCGGACAGAGAACGGATGTAATGATACACGGTGCCTCGAGGCCCAGGACTGTGTCGCCGTCAAGGCGCCCGGCCTTGGTCGTGATTAGGGTTGAATTCGACGAACCACTCGTGGGCTCGGGCCCGGGAGTCAACATGCAACGGAAGAGCAGGAGGCTTCGAAGTTTCGAAGGAACGCAAGGTACGGCGAGCGCAGCAATTGCATGCGCATGGGGCGAGGTTGCTTCGCGCGGTCCGTGTGATCGTGCGGACGGACACCGAATGTTGGACGTTGGACAGCAGGAGCCTTGAGGCGTGACGGACGATGACAGGTGGACCGCAAGAAGTCAATGACGCGATCTGCACGCGCGAGGACTGGGAGTAGTATACAGAAGATGCGGATCGCAGATGGCAAGATGGGAGGAGAATTATGGAAGCGTGTATCTAACTATACAAGGGATGCAAGGGAGTTAGGACGAGACGCGATGAATCACGAGGTTGATATGCAGGGAGAAGAAGGGGTTCACAGAACAGCTGATCGAAAGCAAGCCGTGGGCATGACAAGTTACAGGACCCTTGCAATTCGGACGCGTTATGAAACAGGATACATCTGGTGTGGGCGGGCACGGAGGACGAATGGGAGACCTATGTATGCAATGCAAGACAAGGTAGACCGAGCGAAAAGTAGAGGAAATTTGCCATGAACTATGCGGCTTCCAGACCGTCTTTCATGGCGAGGAAGTCCTCCGCTTCGTACTGGCTCCAATTGTTGAACAAGAGAGTCATCTGGGTTTTGCCGCTCCTAACAGGGTCAGAAACACAGCAGCAAGGGGCGCAACGGGCGTCGATAA